CTTGGCTGATGGCTTGGGGCAGCTCCATCTCATGCCTCCCAACCTCCTACTAGTTCAGCCGAGCCTTTGGTCTCCAGCTTCTCACTGTTCCTGTCCCGTGCAGCTGGGAGAGACCCCAGGCATGGCTGTCCTTATGGCACCACCAAAACCAGTTTCACTGGGGATACCACGTAAGCTATCAATCCTGCAGACACAGTGGGCAGAGCCCATCAGCCCAGCAGTCTGCCCTGCTCCCTTGGTTTTTGCATTTGTTTCTCTGCACTGAGCAATCTGTAAAGCCAAGCATTTCTGCCTTGTCAGAGAACAAAAAAGTCTTGCATACAAAACAAGAGACTCGGTACAATCCATTAATATGTTACTAAATAGGACTTGCCTGCCCTCTCTGGTCCAGAGCTGAGGCTCCCAGGAGGTCTGTTAATTTACTGTTTTCCCATTACATGCAGTGCACTTGCTAGGATTCTTTGCACCCTGAGTGCAAAGCAGGTGGAATGGTATCCACCATGGATCTCACCAAATTTAGAATAAAACATACACATCTGCTTACATAACGAGTTGAATGGGCTTGGTTCACAGAACGAGACATTTGATCTGTGGCTCAGCTTGGGTGTGGGAGATACCAAAGTAGCTATGAGCACCTCTCCCTTCTAGTAGCTGGTTAGTTCTGGTACTAATTTGAGGGCTGTGTGTACCTCGAACAGACGCTGGTTGGAAATAGCTCTGAATAAGACACACTGGCAGTTGAGGATAAGTAGGAAGCAGCAGCCAAGACGGGATATCAGGAGAGGCCAGGAGTGGATGTCATAAAAACCCAGTGCTGTTTGGAGTGTTTTCATCCACGGGAATTCTTCAACAGTTGGCTCATGAAATGCTGCAGCTGTCTTGCAAATGCTGGTGAGAGTAGTGTGGCCATGTGAAGTGGCCAGTCAATGGCCACTGGTGGGGAACTGACCCCATGGCTCTCTCTAACTGGACAGGGGAGGCTTTCAGCAGATACCGCTGAAGCTTGATTTGGTATCTTACACAGAGAAAACCTGAATATCTGTCCCTTCCGCTTTCGTCTGCTTCCATGCTGATCTGCTGTCCTCACTGTAAAAGGATGGTAAGTCAGCAGTCTGCATATCCTGCAAGCTGTAGGGAACCACTCTGCAAACACAGTTTTTGCTCCAAGAAAAGCCCAGCGCACTGTATGCATGCAGTGTGCCACAGACCCCAGGGTCTCCGAAAGCCAGACTTTCTAACCACGGCTTCCAAGTCATTCCTCTCACATAAAAAAAAACCCCAAAATGTTTTTGCCCAGTAGGGAGGGAAACTTTACTCTTCCCAAACAGATCAGCTTTTACAGGAGGCTATTTTAGGTGTTGATTCTGTAACACTGAAGTTATTGGACAAATGAAGAACATGGCATATGCTGTAGCTGGGAGCAATTCGCATTCCTCAGGTGCTAAAAGCTTTAAATACTTCCTTTGGGCATGAAATAGATCGGCCGTCAAAGAAGCCAGCATTCCTGACAGTTCCTGTCCCACAGACTCCCACAGGAGAAAGTCTGCAGAGCTGAACTTGTCTGACCCCAGGAAATCCTTCCCACATCTCTCATTCTTGCTTAGTTTCTCCTTTAACTTTCAGAATTTGCTGAAAGGCCAGTTTGGTGTTTGGTTATCTTCCTTTTCATGCACTTTCTTGGTCTTCCTTTCTTATATTAATACCACATTAAAGCTGGGATGTGAACCATGCAAGTCAGGAAGTCCAAGATGCTCTTTCGGAGACACTCACTCAGTCAACTTTGTTAATGATTTCTAAAAACTTCTCTTGTCTTTGCTACTAACACAAACGGCTGATTTCAGACTGGAGCTAAACACATTCAGGCAGCCAGCAGGTAATATCTCTCCAGGGAATCCTAACTCTTGTGAGCTTATCTTTGTCCATATTGACTAAAAAATCATACAGAGATCTCTAATTAAAGTATCAATAACTTTAAGATATATGCATGTTTCCTTCCCTTTCCTTTTTACACCACTACAGTAACAGTGCTGTCATGCTTCACAACAATGATTTAAGGGCTTTTCAGTGCATTCTTGGTGTTGCTCTGGGTTCCAAAGTACATTAGCTGTTTCTTCATAGTCAGAAAGAATGAATATTGTGTAACAGACTCTGAATTTGCTCCATTCATGGTTGGTTTGGGGGTTTTTTGCATCTTCTTATTAAACAGGAGTAGTAAAATTTGGAAATTCTGGGTTCAATTCAGGGTTTACAGGAATGTCAAAGCTTTTCATCTGGCTTCCTCACTTTTGAGCTCACCACTGGACTGTTAGTCCCCATTTCTGCCTCCATAAGGCCACCCTTAGCCACTCGTACACCTGGCTGCACCTCCAAAGCTGTTGATGTCTCCTAAAATTTTAGTCAGTAATTTATCCTTCTTCCTTGCAAATTTATGAATGGGGTAGATACTAAGCGTTCCTTCTCTGCATGGCTGGCTCCTAGCTGGTGCTGTCCTAGCTAGTGCTAGCTTGGAATCAGTATTTTATTATACAAATGGGAATAAATCCATTTCCCTCATACCCTTCGTGCAAACACTTGTTTATGACTCAACGGCCCTAACTGCGTGTCTCCAGAAAGTTGTGAGGCAAATGGTATTTTGACCCCATTTTGACCATATGCTCCATCTGGTTAAAAGCTGAAGCCAAGATTTTTTTCTGCGGGCCAGATACTTGTTACTCGGGGAACTGAGGGAATAATTAACGCAGCTTTCTATAAAGCCAGCTTGTGACTATTCATATTCATCGGAATGTATATTCGCCCCTTTATTCTTCTGAGTAGTATTAATATGAAACAGCAAGGAGTGTGAGCGTGGATGCCGAAAACCAGGAAGAGTTCAAAGACAGCTTACAGAGGATCTGCGGTCCAGAAAACAAGAGCTACGATGAGAGATCAAGCGAGCTCAGAGAAAAGGCTGTAAATCAATTTGATTGTGGACCATCGCCATCTACAGAGCGAGGTGCCGGG